GCCAGTTCCAAACAGGTTGGGACAGGGCAGGGGTGACTCAATTTGAAATAGTGGAACAATTTCAGAATAATGGTCCTCAGCATAAAATTGCAAAGGCTTTGAATATCTCATCATCAACATCATCATCAAATATTGATTTTCTGGTTTGTCCCTTCCACACAGAGATTTTTCCATGTTTTGATGTTATTATATACTGTAGATGATGAGAAAAGATCTTTGGTTCCTCAGACACCCACAAATGCAGGTAATAGCTCTGTGATGCAAAGAAGAAGGCATGGAAACACTGGGCCAAAGATCTGAGGCAAAGAGGAAAACTGTTGTTAAAAGAAGCGGGGATGCTGCACACTGATAATCATGGCCCCATTTAAATTTACTGCACTCATATGTGACCTGTGACCCATTAAGATAATCTAGCTTCTGAAACAGCCCCATATAGTTCATAGACTGGTAACACTTTGGCCGTTACCTCATTTTTTGAGGTTGTCGAGTGGCTCTATGCCCGGTTAGTGGGGCATAGTCACACAGTCCCACAGTTTGAGAACAACTAAAAACAATGAAACTTCGACAGACTGCAGAATAAGTCAGTAGACTCTACTCCCAGCAAGGTTTGTCAGTTTAGATGTGTTTTAACACACGTGAAAGAACGTTTGAATAAAAGTGTGTCATCCTCCCCCCAAAACACTATGCTATATAAAGATGTTACATGACAAACTAAACTAAAAAAGTATTTATGACGTATTCATTGAACTCCCCGGGCTTTATAAATATCCAAGTCATTTTCTTTTAAGGTTTTATGATAGTGGTTTCAAACTCATTCTACATTGTGGGCTGGGCCAGAGCGATTAAATGATACATGTGTAAAGTTCATCGCTCTGACTGCCCTGTAATTAAATATTTAGATTATAAAGTTTTCATTAATTACCAGAAAATGTACTTGTACTTTTGTGTGGTATGGATGGTGGGTGAAGTCTCTTTTAATCGGAAAAGCTGACTTAAAATACAGTAAAAAGTTTGAAATATACTCAAAATATATCCTTCAAATTTTCTAAAGCTGTCCAGTGGGAGACATTGGAGTGTTTGCCGGGCTGATTTGAACAGCTGATTTGTCTTATGTTTGACACTCCTGATTTATCATATCATTTTGGTTTTTTTTTTTACTGTACTGTGGGTTCAGGTTTCTATATCATGCTTCTGAATACTGAACTGCAACAAGCTTTCAATATTAAAATGCGCACAGAGCTGAACGTTTAACACAGCTCAACACTAGTTTCAGTGTAATGGGACTTTTCTTTTGTTTAGCTCTGCTGCTCGTACAGAAAACATGGGCTAATGGTAAAACCAAAAGTCCTGACTTTGCTTAGCGCCATCTTCTGATATTATTAAGAAAAAAATAAGACCTGGTCAACTGCTGCTCCTTCCTGTATGAAACATTTGTTACCCAGCAGTCAACTGAGTGCTTTGTTTGTAGTCTTGCTGCTGCAGGTTATCAGCAGCGCCTGCTTTCTGGCCTCTGCAGTGGAACAAGAAGATAAGTAGTGAAAGCAGAAAGGGCGTGGAGGGAGTTATCGCCACCATGGCCAAGTGCTGACAATAATACGATCAACAGGGGGATGTGCCTGTAGGCATAGTCAGTTTATAGTCAGTACTGTGCACACAGAATACCTGCACACACACAGGAAATGCAGGATTTATCATCCGTAGCAGGAGGCAAGAGGCAGAGACATTAATCAGACAAGACAGCTGTGGATGTTTATTAATTCATATGGTTTAAATGACATTTGTGACCCAAGATTATCTTGACACGCACACACACGCACACAAATCCCACCAGAGAGACATACAAAGAAGTGATATTTAAGATTCCAGGAGCCCTTAAAACATTCAGCTTTCGTCTCACAATATCAACTCCATACAGTGTTTTAAACAAACCCTGACATCAAATGTAAACATTTCTGAGAACACAGTTCGCCCGGCGCTTCCTTCACATGTAAACTGCAAGAGCGCTCCATTGGCTAGATACCAAATACGTGTTTATAGTGCAAAAGGTGGATTTTTTGCACTCTCTAGTGACCGAGTGTGGGAATATCCATGTGTAAAATCCATTTGAATTTCACAGTTGTGCTAATATCCCAATGCAAAGAGTCCGTTTCATCTATTTATAACAGCTAAAAAATAATTTCAGACGTTTTGCATATAGAGATAAAAATTCAAACACTGTCGTTTGTTTTCTCTGCCTCGGATTCGAGAGCTGAGGGTCGACGTTTTAAAAGTTACATTTCGTCCTTCACTCGAGCGCTCACATTTTCGGTGCAGCGCGCAGAATTTTGAGGCAGTGAACATAAAGAACTAATACTCAGGAATAATCAGTGAAATGAGCAAAGGCTTCCTCTGCGACTCAATCACAAATCTAAACAGTCTGAACAAAGCAGCTCATTTGATTTCCTTTTTTAAC